GGTTAAGAAGTCTTCTTGAAAACAATTCTTTTATTATTTTTGGAAAATTCATATTCCATATGATCTCCCAACATATTATTCCTTCCTTTAGTAGTCAAATTTATTCAATCAGTGGTCCATACCTACTCACTTTTTCTCCTTTTCTAAATCATTAAGTTATTCTAAATCTATCCTTCTCTCTCTTCTATAAATTCCTATCCTTTTGTCTTTCCATGCTTCTTTCTAAATATCTCTGAGGAGAGATTCACTGAGTTTCTCATTTTTGCTACTGTATTTTTAAATTCTGGAATTTCTATTTTCTTCAAATATGCTATATCATTTTTATTATGTCCAGTTCTCTTGAAATTTTCAATATCGGCATTTACCCTTTGAACAGAGTAAGTGTCTTAGCTCAGGCTGTCATAACAAAATACCATAGATTGAATAGCTTAAACAGCAGAAATTTCTTCTCTCACAGTTCTAGAGGGTACAAGTCCAAGATCAAGGTGCCAGCATGGTTAGTTTTGGTTGAAAGTTCTCTTTCTGGCATCTAGATGGCCACCTTCTCACTGTGTCTTCACATTGAAAGTGGAGGAAGAGAGGGAGAAAGGAAGAGAGAGAGAGACGGAGAATGGCAGAGGGAGAGAGGAAGAAGGAGAGGAGAAGCACTGTGATGCCTCTTCTCGTAAAAGCAATAACCCCATCATGAGGGTTCTGCCCTCATTACCTTATCTAAACCTAATTCTCTTCCAAAGGTCCTGTCTCCAAATACCACATTGGGGGTTATAGCTTCAACATATGCATTTTCAGGGACACATTTCAATCATAGGTAGAACTCATGTTCTTCACCATTCATTCTACACCAACAATACCAAAAATCTTAACTCATTCCCACATCAACTCTAAAGTCTACAGTTCAAATTCTCATAAATATTATCCAAATGAAGTACGGGTGAGACTCAAGATATGACTTGTCCTGAGGCAAAATTATTCCCCACCTATGAGCCTGTGAAACCAGCCACACTATGTGCTTCTAAAATACTATGGTGGGAGAGGCATAGGGGACATATTTCCTTCCAAAAGGGAAAAATCAGAAGAAAGAAATGGGTGATGGATCCTAAGCAAGTCCACAACCTGGCAAGGCAAATTCCACTGGATCTTAATTCTTGAGTATAGTCTTCTTTGGCTTAGTGTCTTGCTTTCTAAGCCCACTGGGGTGGCAGCATCATTCCTACGGCTCTGCCCCTTTGACTCTACAGTGCCCCATCCCCATGGCTCTAGGTTAGTGTCTGCTCCCTGTAGCTCTGCTGACCCAGGGTCCTGCCCCATAGCTCAGATGAGCTGGGGTCCACTGGGTGATCCTTCCTCCAAAGCTCATGGTGAAAGCCACCTGGCCTGTTGAAACTGGGACAATGGCCCTGATGACCTCTGGATCTCCTGTGGAATCATTTTTCCTTCTTCTTGAAGAATAGTGCACGTTTGCAGCTGAATAGTTCTATCATCCCATCCTGTCTAATTCAAGAAGTCCAATCAATAGGCTTCCTTAATTTCATCCTGCAATGTTTCTGCTCATATAATCCCATACACTTATCAAATGTCTGTTAACCGACCCTTAGCATTCCCATCAGAAAGAGCTTTCTCTTTTTTTCCAATATGAACAGGCTAAGAATTTTCCAAATCTTCACATTCTGATTTCTTTTTGCTTAACAATTGCTTCTTCAATTAATCTCTTGCCATTTGCATTTTACGATAAGCAGTCAGGAGGAACCAAGTTGCTCCTTTAACACTTTGCTTAGAAATAGCCTCAGCTAAATATCTAATTTCATTGCTTGCAACTTCATCCTTCCATTAAACACTACAGCACAGTTCAGTTAAGGTCTTTGCCATTTTATAATAAGGGTCACCTTTCCTCTAGTTTCTAACAACATATTCCATATTTCCATCTGAGAACTCACCAGACGCACCCTTGATGTCCATATATATATAGTATATACCTCAAAACTCTTCCAGCTTCTACCCATAACCAGTGGCAAGGCCACTCCCACATGTTTAGGTAGTTGTTACAGTAGTACCCAACTCCTGGTACCAAAATCTGTCTTAGTCAGCTGGGGCTGCCATGACAAAACAACATAGACTGGACGGCTTAAACAACAGAAATGTATTTTCTCATCGTTCTGGAGGATAGAAGTCCACAGTAGTAAACATAGTTATTTTAAAGTCTGTGTCTAATCACAAAGGCATAAGAACGATACAACGGACTGTGCAGACTTGGGGGGAAGAGTGGGAAGGGGACGAGGGATAAAAGACTACAAATATGTTGCAGTGTATACTGCTCTGGTGATGGGTGCACCAAAATATCACAAATCACCACTGAAGAACTTACATGCAACCAAATACCACCTGTACCCCAATAACTTATGGAAAAAATAAATAAAGTCTGGGTCTAACAAATCCAATATTTTAGATCCTTTTATGTCTGTTTCTGTCATCTGTTGTTTTTGCCGCTTGTTCAGATTGTCATGTCTCCTCATGTACCTGAATATTCTTGATTGTGTTCTAGAAATTGTGAAAATAGAGGTCTAGAACAATGTTAACTTCCTGTAAAGAGAATTTACGTTTTATTTCTGGCAGGTTCCTTGAGGCAATAGAAACCAAGAACCTCGTTAAGTTCAATTTCTGGGATTGAGATTTTTAAAATCACTCAGATGATGAGAAACTAAACTACATTATACACCAGGGATAGTTTACTTCCAGTCAACCCTTACCACTAGGGCATAGCCTTTTAGCGTCCCTACCCAAATGAAGAAGGTTTACCAGGGCCCCATCCTTGACTCAAGTTTTTTGTCCCCCTGGTTTTGCAAAGCTTTTAAAAATACTGCTCAGTCTTTCAGCCACATTTTCTAGAATCTTCATATTCTCCCAGGAAAAAAGTAGCTCCAAATGCCAGACCCAACCCTCTAAATTTCCATCTTCTCCTAGATCTTGGCCCAGAAATTCTTCACTATTTATTAGCTCTCTGTTCAAGCTAATTAAAAATACGCATTTTTAAATACGTATTTTAAATCAGTGGTCCATGCCTACTGCCCCTTTCCCTAGCCATCATTGAATAATCTCACATCTGTCCTTCTCTGCTTCCCTCTGCAAGAAGGAAGAGGGAAGATATACTTTGGGGACAGCTAAGCTGCATGTTCCAACCATTTAATTTATTGGTTGATCACCTTTGTTGAGTGTCTGTAATTAGCCTGACAACTAGACTTTCTTGCAACTAGATTTTATAATTATTATATACGCTTTACATAGGCTTTAATGAAATACATTTTACTTTAAGTATGAAATAGAAGATAATTTTTGTTCTCCTCTGGCTTGATTTCACAGGTCACTATGGATGTCATGGAGTAGGTATCATAATCAGAAGTAAAGGCAGATGCATTCAATGCAAACTGTGTAAATTATTAATCTTATTAAATTTCCATGTCAGAAAAATGACCACCCCAACCTTAAGGCTTGCTTTTGTCACAGTAATAAGGTAGGCAAATGCTTTGGTCCTTGAATTTACATTTTATAGACAATATATAACATAACATGTAATAGATGTTTTATATTTTCAATTATTTCAGAGGTTACTTTACTATTAAAGTCTAAAGTTTTTCTGCTGTAATTTACAGCCACAGTTCGATATTTAAGAGTCACTTATTAGCTTACTCTCTGCAGTATTTCTTACCTTCCCTCTCATCTCAACCTTCCTTCCATGATTCCTTTTGATTGAGACTTAAGATTCTATTCTATTGGACCAAGGACTGAAGCAGAGAAATTATTTGTATAAGATTATACAATTGGTGGCAGAGTTGGCCAATACACAAAACTTCTGAGTGCCAAACTAAAATTTCTCCCTAGCCCTGGTACTTTCCCCAACCTGATGGTTGGCATACCTTCAGGGCAAAACAGCAGAACATGTGCCTCTACCACAAAAGGGTTGAGGGAGAAAGTATAGACAAAAAGTTCACTCCATTCCCCTCCTCATGAGAATTTTAGTTTTAATTGACTCCCCAGCACTATTCTCCTAGTAACCTGATAAGGTGATAGGTGTCAACTGTGTTACTGAGCAACTTGAACTACTTAAAAATGACCCCTGATCAGCAAATTCCATCTGAACTGGGAGGAATGAATACCTAATAGAAAACCATAGCTTTGAGTTTCTGTGAGTATGTTGACTTTTGTAGCTGGGCAAATCCACGGTGGGGACCCTGGAAGCTATGCCTATGGAATTGTTACAAGAGATTCTGGCCCCTGGGGTGTGAAACTTTTACGCCAGGGCAGCTCCTGTACCCCCCCACCCACCTACCTCTTTTCCTTGTATTGTATCTGCACTCCATAAACTAGGGACTAAAGAAAATAGCTATGTGTTCTTCTGCATGGCTATGGCAAGGGCTCCTACAGGAAGAGAAATGTCTGATGTTGCCTTGCTGGAAGCTGTTTCCTGTCTTATATTTTTCTAAGTACATTCATGCCAAATATGGTCTATGTTAGTCTTGTGAGTATGACAGCCTTTAGTTGAGCCCAAGACCAACCCCTGGTGGGCACTGCAGAAGGTGTCTGAGCTAGAATTGGGCAGGCTGTGTGTCTCATGCCATGCTTACAACTAGCACAATGCATTAGGGCATACCTTGTCTACTTCCATAAGAACAAGTTTTTTTAAATGTATAACACTGACACGTTCTGTAGCTTCATTTGACAAGGTACATACACACTAAAAGAACCCATAAAAATAATTTAGAGTCCTATTTTTTGTATCACAAGAGTCTATTTGCTGTAATATAAACTCTAATTTTCTAATAATCTCAACAGTAGATGCTATGACCTAGAGGAAATGTGCCAATTTAAACAGAAGTCCTCCATTTCTTAAACAACAATCTTCCATTTCTTAAACAGCAATTATGATTGTTAGAGCACAGCACAAAGCTGAACAATGCCGCTTTTCTTCCTTTCTCTGCTTTTTTTTCCAGGTGGAAAATCAAACTCACCTTAGCTGTTGTTCTCATTTTGAGTTTCTTTCTCAAGTAACATGGCAGCATTTGAGGCCTCATCTTGCTGTCCCTCAGTTAATCTCTTTTGAACCATGCTTTCTGTGCAACTGTGGATGATCTGATGGGCTGCAAGAATATGTTTCCGCTGTGCGTTCCTCACTGTGCCAAAGTAATAGAAACATTTTCACTCTGAAAGTCTGAATGAAACCATTCCCAAATGTTTCAAGAGAGTCATGATAGAAATAATTTTGCAAACTAAAGGTAAACCCAACCCAAATCTAATTTCTTTCTGCTCCCTCGGTTCCCACTCTCTGGTTCAGCCCAGTCATACTCCTTCCCACCAGGCTTGCCTCCATTCCACTCCTCAGCAGTTTCCCTCACCTGGAATGCCTGTACTCCAAAACCTGGAAAGCTCATGTCCAACATCCTCCAGGAAGTCTCCTCTGACTACATCAGCCCAGATTTACCACTTACCGCACTTCAGTTTGTACCAACCTATTCAGCATTGAAGCACTTCATGTGAGTTACATTTTGTTTGATACCTAGAGTGTAAATAACTTACAAATAAAGACCTTGTCTTATACTTCTTTTTGAGCCTTAGTTCTTAATGTGGAGGGGACTTACTGATTGATGATGAGTTTATGAGCTCATGGCTTTAGAAGGTAGTCCTAGCTCCAAATTCTAAGAATATTCACTATCAGGTAAGCACCTAAGACCCTGGAAAGGAGTAGTGATGATGATGATGTTAGCAGTTAGCATTTGTCCTTACTTAGTGCCAGGTACTGTTTTAAGCAGTTGACATGTAATTCTTCATTTAATCCTCCTAAAAGATAGTATTTTAATATCCTCATTCTCAGAAGAAGAAACATGGACACAGAGACATTAGATAATTTACCTTTTTTTGATCCAATTTACGTTTTTCTGATCCATTGGCTTTTTAAAAAGTGATATATCTCAAAACCGTCTGTAATATTATCTTAATTTTGGGTAAAGAGTGTATATATAATACATACGGTTCTCATTTGAAAAGACAAAAAAAAAGGTCCTAGTGTGCTCCCTGTTCATATGGCTCTTTTGATTTGGCAAAAATATAAAGGGAAGAGCTAGGGACTCACTCAACTTCACCGCAGATAAGTGCCACTGGATTCCTTTCACTCAAGTCTTCCTCCAGATCCTCAACTCAGACTCCCAAGGTGAGGGAGGGGATCACAAACTAGTAAATTTTTTTTTTTTTTTTTTTTTTTTAGACAAGGTCTCACTCTGTTGTTCAGGCTGGAATGCAATAGCACAATCTCGGCTCACTGCAGCCTTCACCTCCTGTGCTTAAGTGATCCTCCCACTTCAGTCTCCCGAGTAGTTGGGACTACAGGTGCATGCCACCACACCTAGCTAATTTTAAAATATTTTTTGTAGCAACTGGGTCTCCCTATGTTGCCCAGGCTGGTCTCAACTCCTGGATTCAGGTGATCTTCCCACCCCAGACTCCCAGAGTGCTGGGATTACAGACTTCAGCCACCACACCTCGCCACAAACTAGTAATTATTAAACCCACTGTTTTCCTCCTCTCTTTCAATCCTAGGGTGGAATTCAACCAAGGGTGTAATGGCTTTGAAGCAGCCTGGCCTCACTTTGAACCCAGGAGAAGTGGAAAGGAGTTGCATATTTTCTTAAGGTCCTAGAAGACATAAGGTCCTTTTGTAACATAATGTGACACAGAAATATATTAGTTGATCTGAAAATTAATTTTTTTGTATTAGCACTATCATACGCTACTGATGTGAGTCAGTGATCATTTTGTGGGGCAATATGGTAATATCAAATTGGGAGAACAATCTTTTTGTAGGAAATTTGGTACTATCTATCAAAATGTAAAATACACATACCTTATATCCCAGCAATTGTACTGTTAGGAATTTACTCTCAGAAGCATGGCCGGGATATGTGTAAAATATATTGATTGAAGCACCGTTAGTAACAGGAAAACAAACTGGAAACAAACTAAATGCTTATCCTTAGGGGGTACTGGTTTAAAAATTACACTACAACCATGCAATGGAAAAATCAGGCATTTCTTTGTCCTCTCCAAATGTGTTAGAATTCCACCATTTCTTTATCCCTGGTTAAGCAAATTGAAATGTTAAGCATTTTTCTGCTTAAACCTGTCTGGAATTCCCCTGTATCATTTTCAATGCTTTTGAGCTGCTATTTCACTTAAATATTGTTCTTCTGGTTGCTCCCCTCTGTCTAGGATCAAGCCTGCCATCAACAGTCTCAGAGCTATGGAAGAATCTTACTTTTCTGTTTAAGATATTATTTTCTCTTTCTCTATTGACTGAAAGCATCAATCTTTTAAAACATGCCACCAGTGACAAATGATAAATTAGGATATTTATACTTGGATGGAGTTCCAGCAGAAACAAGCTATTTGGGGTGCAGGCAGAGCAGCAGAGTAGATTTAGACCTTTCCCGCACCCCTGCTTTTTAATATTCACGGTTCACGTGTCCTGCCTCCATAAGGCTGCTACAATGTGCAAATCTTTTATGTGCTCATTATCTGTTTTATGCTTTAAAAAAAAAATAAAAAATACACCTTTTCTGAAAACTTGGGAACATCCTTTTAAACAAGGTTTGGATTTTGATATTGTCACTCTTATTAGAACTACGTCCCATCTGTATTAGATTTGATTATATTCTAGAATCAGGTAGCATGAAGAGAACCTGACAAACTCTGAAATAAGAAAACTCAGTGATCCTCCTTCAGAAATTTCCCCATCCCTCTGTTTAATTTTAAATCTCTGGGATATTGAATATAAGTTACATATTTTAAAAATCCTAAAGTAAAGCATTTACATTGGCTTACCTTTTTCTTTGACAAAGTATTTTTGCACCTCTGGGATCAGAAAACTATAAACCAACTCAGCAACAATCTCCTCTGACTGAAGATAGGTTCGGCTAAAAAGTATAAAACAAATTGCATTATTTCTTTGGTTTTTTTACTTGAGCTGCTGATTTATGCTTTCCTGCTGTGTAAGTAACTCCATTCAAATCCCAACATCACCTTTTCCTTGATTAAGTGATCTGAAATATCACATTCCTGGCAAGTTTGTTTAACTCCATAAAAAAAATTTGGATTTGACCCTGTCCTTCAGTTACCCTGCCTGCCAGGAAGAGAATGTTGGAAACACAGCTTATACATAGAAGCCAGAAACCTTGGGATGAAGTCCCAGTAATGTTGCACATACGTATTCACATTGTTTTTATGCTTCCGAGTATTCTTAAAGTAAGTAATGAGAGTAATCCAGATTGCAGAGGATAACTGAGAATACATACAGAGGTACACGCATATTGGCTTCTCAGGAGTTATGTTAATAAAACAATGGACCCTGAAGTATGAGTTATTTGTTTCTCCTTGGTGGTGAAATTGTAAGCTCTTGAAAAAATATATATGAGTATCAGCAAATAGGCTGTCCATTCTACAATCTGTTCTCTTGATACACACCGGCTTTCCATTTCATAAGCAATGTCATTGATTTTCTCAGCCATCTTCTCTATTTCTGCCCTGGCTTGTTCTTCTGCAGTATTCGCTTCAGTATTCAGTATTATGTCTTCTAGGTAGCAGCTTATAGTACTATGGTGAACTTTAACTACCTGCAAAATACAATAATACTCTCACTAAAACAGGTGTGCTGTTGTAAACAACACAAGAAAAATACACAAACATTGGGTTAACTTTTTTTAGCTCATATATTTCATTTATTAAGTCAACAGTCCCTTCACTCATCATTCATTTTCTTTAGCATCTCATCAGTCTATTTCTCATCCACCTGCCTACTCATTCTGGGCAGCCCACACCCATTTAGCCCATTTCAGAATTATGGATCTTATTGGGTGGGAGGGCAAGACAGCATTGCTGAAGGATCATGGGCTTCAGAGTCAATAATGCTGGTTCAAATCCTGGCTTTGTTCTTACCAGCAACGTGATTTGGTCAAACTACCTAACAGAAGAACAGACTAGGAGGTATTCTCCAGTATCCTTTCCCTCCTTCCTCTTACATAATAGAACCCCTGGATTTCAGCTAGGCAAACAGGTGCCTAGAATAAAGACTACATTTCCTAGCACCCACAGGAGGTGGATTGGCCGTATGACCACATTCTGACCAAAGAAAGGATTCTTAAAGGGAAAGACCTGGCTTCTTTTTTTCTCTCTTCATTTCTCCTTTCATGAGGACATAATGCTGGAACACCAGCAATCATCTTAAATTGCCAGAAGGGCTACGACTTAGGAAGAGAAGAGCAGAAAGCTAGAAGGATCCTGGGTCTCTAATGAATTTATTGAATTATCATACCAGCCCTTGACTGCTTCTTTTTAAAGCTTACTTGATATCATGAAATAGGATACAGATTTTAAAAGTGCATTGGAAGCAAACTCAGAGATTAGAAAAATAAAACAAAATAAAAAGTACAGAGCACATAAATGTACAGTGTAATGAATTAGGGTAAAGTCAGAACCCATGTACTATAGTAACTGCCAGTATCTTAGAAGGCCACCATGGTTTCTTCTTTTACTACAGCACCTTCCCACTTTCATGGTAAACACTTTGTTTTCTCTATATTTTTGCTCCCTAAGTATGTAACCATAAGCAAAGTAGTTTGGTTTTTCCCGTTTTACAGGTGTATGCACATAGAAAGATTAAGCAACAACTGTGGCATAGTTTTGCGTGTATATGTATGCTGATTATCAGCTTCTTAGAGGTAGGGCACTTTTCTGTTTCATGTCTAAATATATCTTCGTATCTGAGATAATGCCTGGGACTCAGTAACAATTCAGTACCTGTTTCTGGACTGGCACTTTGGCACAATTCTGAGTATATGATACTGTACACCTATGTGTAAAACATCAACCTTCAATTCCTATGCCTTCTCTATGGGAGACTCTCAATGGCCAGTTGAATACAGTATCAACCAAACAACTACCCCACCAAAATATATCTGCTGAACGTCTATTAGGTACAGAGATTTATGTTGTGTTGTGCAAGGCACAAAGGGAATATACAATATTCATGCTCTCATAGAGCCCACCCTCTTATTCAGGAAGCAAGTTGCATCTATATGGATCAATTAGACAGCTCAGTCATGTAATAGTAGAGAGGTGGAAAGTTTACTATGGTCCATCCATAGCCATATATGTACCTGTGTGTTTATGTATATCTTTATAAATGTGTAAATTTCTGGACACATTTGTGTGTGTATGTACATGAATAAGGAAACGTGTGGCTATGTGTGTTCCTCTATGTCTTGCTAATATTTTGCACACCAGATATTTGTAAATATGTCCTCATGTATGTGCCTGCAAAATTGTATATGTATTTAAAGATGAGTCTATGACTTTATATCTGTGTTTCTCACTATCTATATGCTATATTTTGGAAATTTATTAAATATTACATTTCTGTTTTATAATTTATGTGCAAGCATATTTCTCTTCAAGAGAATCTGTTTGAATGGAGGTTGGGGAAGTAGGATGGAAAATAGTCATTATATTTTAATTAGAAAGGTTGGGAATTAAAATGATGGATGATATTTGAATCTGTGGGTCCACAGTGGGTACATTTTTTACCTAAGTGATTCTTAAATCAGGCTAGAAGGGCTATCTTAACCCTTTCCTGCCCTTGCTAGACAGAGCTGATGTTTTCTGCCATCATTCCCATTTAGAAGATGTCTTCCTAAGAAGCTTTTTACCAGCTTCTTCCTTTCTCTGCTTTTGTGTATAGTAGCTCCTCTGTTCCATTGCTTCTTATTCTCACCCCCAGCTATCCTTCCCATCTCCAGCAGTTCTTCCTTAGTGATATTAGGTAGATATGGCAAGTTCTGATTTGCCAATAATTTCTAAATCTCAGTAACTCTTTTTGAAGAAAAGTGTGCTAAGATTGGTAGGAGGCTACAAGCTGGTCACCAACTCCCAAATTTACATCTTCAGCCAAAACGTCGTTTCTAAATTCCATCTTGTAGATCCACCTACTGAAACAATACCTCTGCTTAGATGTCCCAAACTAAATATAAATTGATTTCCTGATTCTTCTCCTGCCCCTACGCTTATTCCTCTCTCAACTTTCCTACCTCAGGAAATAATACCATCATCTTCCAGTTGCTCAAGCCTGACACTGGACGTAATACTCGACTTCCTGTGTCTCACTCAGGCCTTCACTACTTCAACAGCTACTTCCTGGCCGCCTTGTTCTCCCCTCTGTCCTCCCTCCAGCCTGTGCTCCACACAGCAAGTGGAGCAACCGGCTTAAAATGTGTCTCTGGGCTCTATTTGTTTCCTTCATGGAGCTCAATACATTTTCTAATTCTATACACAGGTGCGTATTACGTGTTATTTAAGCTTTAGGAGAGAAGGGATCGTGTCCGGGTTTTTTTTCCCCTCCAAAGTTTCCCACAATGCCTATGTAGAGTGCCTGGCATACAGTAGGAACCCGATGCATAAACAAAAGCCAAATGCCATTTTATGTTATGAGCATCCTTTGGTTTGACTTGGCTCCTTCTAGGCAGCTTCCATACACCCAGCTGCCCCTACTTGCCTCCTTAAATATCTCGTCCTCCTCCCGCAGGCGCTGTTTTTCCACCTGGCGCCGACCACTCTCTTCAGCCTCTCGTACCCGCCGCTGGCGCTCGGCCAGCATGACAAAGGCATGGATCCTCCTCTCCTCCTGCAGTCTCACCAGCTCTTTGGACAGGAAGTCAAACATGTCTGCCAGTGCCCTTCCTTCCAGTCCAGCCAAATGGTTTTCAACCAGTGACACCTTGAAAAGAATAACATAACTTTAAGGACACAAATTCCACTATGAGTGGTGATTATTAGAAGAGGCACCGGATTACTCAAAACTCTTGGCAGTCAATTCACTTTCAGAATGAATTTAATTTTTATTGGGAATATTGCCTCTCGATTGACTCCATCCCAGGTTCTTATGAGGAAAACAGAGGCGTAAAAAAGTCGATGGTTTGGTCAGTCACTGATGGACCACAGCCCTCAAATAAGCAAGAGAATTTAGCAAGACATTTCTGTTAGTGACCATGGAGAATGGGTTTTTTTCCTTTCAATTTTATCGACAAGGTAAAGTGTGTCTTCCCAGACATGAAGGGAAATGTCAAGTTTTTATTAAAGATAATATTGGAGTTTAATCAAATTGAATCTCCTAGAAATTCACTCGTGATACCTGTTAATTTTTCAATATCTTTCCTTTCACACAAGTTAGGAGTTAAGATCTTGAATAACATGAAAGTAGAAAACCTTGGTATTTTTTAATCTTTTCATAACTTTGAAGTCATTAACAACAATCTTTGAAATAGCACAGGAATGGCTGGGCATGGTGGCTCAGGCATGTAATCCCAGCACTTGGGGAGGCTGAGGTGGGTGGATCACCTGAAGTCAGGAGTTTGAGACCAGCTTGGCCAACATGGTGAAACCCCGTCTCTACTAAAAATACAAAAATTAGCCAGGCGTGGTGGTGCGTGCCTGTTTAATCCCAGCTACTCAGGAGCCTGAGGCAGGAGAATTGCCTGAGCCCAGGAGGCAGAGGTTGCAGCAAGCCAAGATCGCTCCACTACACTCTAGCCTGGGTGACAGAGTAAGACTCCATCTCAGAAAAAAAAAAAAAAAAGACAGTACAGGAAAAAGACCATATGTCCATCTAATCACTGAGGCAAAATTAGGAACCCATTGTGCTCTCTGCCAGAAGTCAGCTACAGTGCCTATTTATGAATCCCTGTGTCCTGGCTTTGACATATGGAGAAGAAAAGTGCTTAAGATGACTTTGCAAATTCATCCCCTTTCCTCTCCTATCCTTGGTTGTAAGGGAAAAGGGCTCATCTTCCAGTCACATGCCACCTTCTCAGTGACAGTTCTCCCTCTGTGCTCAGCTCCCTTCCTGGTTTCTATCTGAAGGGAGGGAATACTCAGTTCTCAGAGGCCATGGGGCTATGGGTAAAAGCATCAGTCAAGTGTGGTTGTTGGCCCCAACACCACCCATCTTCATCCTCACCTGCCTCCTAGCCCACAGACTTTCTAACCACAAAGTTCAACTTTATTTATATAGTAGGGAGAGATGGAAAGAAAGGGCAAAGCTAAGAGCATCTCACTACTCCTTCTGTTCATAAACAGTAGATACTCAGCCCAGAGATCACAAATAGATTCTCTCCTTATCTGCAGGGAGCATAAGCTCCCTCACTCGGGGTCAGGTGCCACCTTGAAAATTCTGAGGTGGCTAGAAATCCTGCTCAATGGCCGGGCGCGGTGGCTCAAGCCTGTAATCCCAGCACTTTGGGAGGCCGAGACGGGCGGATCACAAGGTCAGGAGATCGAGACCATCCTGGCGAACACAGTGAAACCCCGTCTCTACTAAAAAAATACAAAGAAAAAAAAAAACTAGCCGGGCGAGGTGGCGGGCGCCTGTAGTCCCAGCTACTTAGGAGGCTGAGGCAGGAGAATGGCGTAAACCCGGGAGGCGGAGCTTGCAGTGAGCTGAGATCCAGCCACAGCACTCCAGCCTGGGCGACAGAGCAAGACTCCGTCTCAAAAAAAAAAAAAAAAAAAAAGAAATCCTGCTCAAGTTTAGCCTCTTCTCAGCAAGAAATCTGGGTATGCACAGGCAGTACAATCTAATTTGAAATTAAGGGAAATGTTTAGGGAGGGGATTCTGCTGTAGTCACAGAAAGTACTGTGTTACATAATTGGGGGTTGTGCATTTTCTGGACTGTTTTCCACAGAAATATAAGAGAAGGGGAAAAGAGACAGACCAACATTGCCGCAGGTATACATGAAGTGCTCACTCCCTCAGATCCCTGCATGCATCCAGGGTGTATCCAGGTACAGCTGAAGGTAAGCAGAGTGAGTCCTTGGCTAAGTGACAGCTTTGCCCATTAACTCCTCCCTTAGCTGTAAGCTGACACGATTTCACCCACGCATATATCCACTAAATGGAATAAATGAACTGAAAAGCCTGGGTTAGCTTAGCTGTGCCCACTAAAGTCATGATCAGAAACCTGAAAGGGCCAAGGGGGGCATTTTTTCATCCACGGTCTCAGGGCCTAGCGCCCCCAGGGCATTCTGTTCCTTATCTGAGCTTTTCCAGGACTCTAGGACTTCTAGATTCAGGGACTCCAGTGTTCACATTCTCCTCTTCCTTCTCTGGTTCCTCTGTTGGATCTCACAGCCTGTGGCTTGCTTCCTCCCAATCCTGCCTCACTCCCCAAAAGTTCCCCAAGCCCAGCAACCATCCATGGTGCTGCTGTCGTGTGAAAGAAAGAAAGTTGTGGTTATTTCCAGGCTGCTTACTATTTGTGCTCGACTCCCACATAACACAAGAGTTATGTATGTTGCTAAAGGGGGGTCATATTAACTTTAATTATTACTTCCCTATAACACTAAATTCTGTGCAGATTGATTCTTTTTCAGATTGACTTACAGAAAAGTGGGAGAGGGAGTAAAATAAAGTGTAACTATACTATGTCAATAGCATTTAAAAGTGTGTGTATACATAGACAAACATTGGAAGAAAATAGGAAAAATATTTACAGTTGTTGGTTTGGAGCTGTAATTCTTAGCTGTGTCAGGTGGCACAGAGCTGGGAGGTCACGATGAAAGTCACCACATATCATGAAACAGTAACATATTTAATACGCAGTTTAACCAGCACGAGCTATGACAGTTCTAGAACTCCAAAATAAATGCTAATATTTTAAGATAAATCTTATTTCTCACTTTTTTTCACGTTGCTTTTGTTATTTATTCAGTCTGCAAAACCCTCACTAACTGAAATACAGTAGTCACTGGATATTTGTGGAAAAAAAGGAAGGAAAAAATCTTGAAGTTGAAAAGAATGCATTATTTTTGTTTTGTTGTTATTGTTTTGCAAATAAAGAAACAATACCACCATATTCAAATCAGTAAGGGCACATCCCCAATCAAATTAAGGACAACAGCAGCATTATTTAAGAATTCCAGCACTTTGGGAAGCCGAGGCAAGCGGATCACCTGAGGTCAGGAGTTCGAGACCAACCTGGCCAATATGGCGAAACCCCATCTCTACTAAGAATATGAAAATTAGCCAGGCATGGTGGTGCATGCCTGTAGTCCCAGCTTGGGAGACTGAGGCAGGAGAATCACTTGAACCCATGAAGCAGAGATTGCAGTGAGCCAAGAGTGCGTCACTGCACTTCAGCCTGGGCGATAGAGTGAAACTCCGTCTCTCTCTCACACACACACACACACACACACACACAGCTGACAGAGTGATGGGATTGTGGGGCAGTTTCTTTTTCACCATTTCATGAATTTTTATTAGAATGTTGCTGTGCCATGATAAAATCAAGGGAGAAAATTTAACAAGAAAGTAACAAGAAAAAAAAAGGAAAACCTTGTGCTCATGTAAGTTCCTCTGCCGCTGTAAGGCCAGGGTCACTTGCTTCTCGGCTTTTTTCACCAGTTTTTCATCTTCTTGTAGTGCGTGGCAGGTGCGCAACTCCTGGATCAACTCCAGTCGCTTTTCTTTCCCTTCAAACATCTGTATCAAATCAAATCAAATCAAATCAAAGAGAGACCTATAAGTTACCATCCCTTTGTGCCAAGCACTAGGAGTCACACGCAGTGATTTGTGAGACACTTGTGAACAGTGGGTTCTGTCCTGCCTTTTGGGTTCCACAGAGCGGATGTGTCCCACAGAGCTAGAGTTCAGCCCTCTTTTCTGTGCCTTCAGCTTCTCAGGCAGAGAATGGGCATAGTTTTCAGTGAGCTGTACTTAGTTTCTGACAATACCTCTTAAGGACAAGATGACAACTCTAGGGTCATATTAAGAAATCAGAACCTTCCCCTCATTTCCTGTGCTCCTTCGATAATAAACCTGAGGATGGCATTTTTCATGGCCATATTTCCTTTTCCAATAAATCTGTCCCTGGTTTGTGATAATCTGTTGTCCGAATTTAACTGTGGCATTTCTCTTGGGAAAATACTGAAAGGAGAGTAACGAACAGTGCTAAATACAAGTTATTCATCCAGTTGAGTTACTCATCATATCTGAATCTCTTATGAGTTATAGCTGTCTGGGGAAAAAAATTAACTGGGGCTTTATATCAGTCCATTTTTTACGTGAAGTGTGCCTGCTCCAGCAACACAAATAATCTGGCTGAGGCTTTACAGTCAGGAAGACCAGAGCGGAATTTGCTGGCAGATAACTATATCTCCCTCAGACTCATATTACTTGCCTGTAAAATGAGATTATGGATAGGAAATAAAATGAGACAATACATGTAGTGCAAAGAATAAATAGTGTGGGCATATAGTAAGGGTTCAAAACCATAGTTCATTATTTAGCTATTTCCTTTATAATGTAGATATCACCAGACATACGCAAACTCAAATAATTGTATTATGACTATGTTAAAAATTAGGGAATCCACCTAGTTGATAATGCTTAAATAGCCAAAATTCAGGTGAGAAAATGTATGGATTTAACAATTCCAAGGAAGAAGTCAGTTTCACACTGCCTTAGTTACAACCATGGCAAATAGCAGGTAGGTCCTTCCTGCCTTTCTCCTTGACACTGTGCCACCCACCTGGACAAACGATGTCACCAGAAGGAAATGGGACACCAGAAGGAAATGGGCAGTCAATTTAAGAGTTTAGCTGAATAGGATAGCAGGGTGCAAAAGGGAATTCACTCCAAGGAACCAAGCACATATGCATTCTAAAAAAATTATTCTCAAAAGAGAAACGCAGGGCCAGCAGTTGGACCTACACACCATGTTCTGAACGACTCTGCCCCGGAGTAACTTTTGAAGGTAGATCACAGCCATTTCTATTTCTTCTTCTTCCTAAAAGAACAAAGGGAGAACCAAGCAGCTTGAGAACTGCAGTAGTCCAAGCATCAAATATTCTTTTGAAGACTTACTTCAAGCAAAACAGACTGTGCCAGATGCCGAAAAGATTTAAAGAGAAATAAAACATGGTCCCTGCCCTTATTGAACATATACTATTTTAATGTTACTTACATTAAAATTCATTATTTTCATCATTAACAAACCATATTACAAGCAAAAAATTCACGCCCTGCCATGCTATCCCTACAAATGAAGCCACTTTCATTTCTTTATATTCCTTTCCAACAAAATCTTTCTTGAAGCAACAAGTATTGCTGATAACATCATTTTGCAATAGGATTTTTCACATTTGATCATCAGTAGACAAAAATACACCTAGTCTATTGTCAGAGTAAAGTACTTCTCACAAGAATTCAGCTATGCTGATAAAATCAGAATATAAGAGACAAGGTTAACCATATATAAAAATCATCTTAAAAACTGTGTGTCCAAAGCAGAAAAAGCAAGGTCTGGAAATCTAATTAAGGTTCCTTTGAATGTAAAAAGAAAACAGCAGTCTAATCGATGACATTAACACACATGAAAGACAATGTGTCAGGCTGAGTGCAGTGGCTCATGTCTGTGATCCTAGCACTTCGGGAGGCTGGGGCAGGTGGATCACCTGAGGTCAGGAGTTTGAGACCAGTCTGGCCAACGTGGCAACACCCCATCTTTCCTAAAGCTACAAAAATTAGCTGGGCGTGATGACACACACCTGTAGTCCCGGCTACTCATGAGTCTGAGGCAAGAGAATCGCTTGAACCCAGGAGGCAGAGGCTGCAGTGAGTCAAGATTGTACCACTGCACTCCAGCCTAGGTGACAGAGCGAGATTCTGTCTCCAAAAAAAAAAAAAAAAAAGACAATCTGTCAATCAAAGGCCTGCACAAAATCTAGAAAAGAGAATGTTACCCAGCAGCACATCCCAGCCGGCTGGTGGGAGCTTTCTGGTCCCTCTGCAGGAGCCACTCATCAGAGGCAGTAACAGGGGTTAGTGTGGTCTCCCACCAACACCTGCCCTCAGCCAAGAAACACACCAGCCTTCTGAATACAATTTGGCTTCTTGTGAGGACTGTCCTATATTGAGAGATAATGTGCTGACTGGCCAAGAGGAATAGCCTGATCTAGTAGGCAGTTATGGTTCTCTCCGTAAAGTAATAAATTTGCAACATGGCATCTCTAACAGTTTCCTGTGGATTTGTTTAGTCTGAGTCAGTCCTCTAAATCCTAACCAACTCTGCTACCTTGCTCAAATTGAGTCTGGTGAGATGTAGCCCTGGGCAGGCCCTTTGAGTCATTCCCAACCCAGAAGCAAGCCTATCTTGATGACACCTCTGGCATTTCGTTCCCCTTCGACTCCAACAGTCATCAGCCATCTCTCCATATGGGAAGATAGTTATGGTAACTGATCATCACTCAATCTTCTTTTTCTATTTCATATACATGAGCACTACCTTCTGATGCTGATTTTTCATGGAAAGATTTTTTAAATTATGTTTTTATTTTTGAAAAGAACTGGGTTTAGATTTCATTTCATCTCGTTTGTTTTTGTGTGTGTCTGATGTTTGCTACATAAGAATAAAGACAATATTTAAGTTAGAGCTTGGGAAACTAACACTGCTAAATTAGATTTGCTTTAAGCTAAACTATCCTAAGAATAAGCTGACAACGATATTGAATTTAACATTTCAACTAAAAAGTTTCCAACTTACATTGGAAGTCATTTCCAAGGTTGGAGTTGGAAGCCGAGGTTGAGGTATTAGGTTTCTCTGAAGGAAGCGAGGGGGTTTCCTGGCTTCAAGAACTTTGTTCTTCTTATCCAACAGTGCCTGAAATAATGCCAATTAATAGAATCTCTTATTTTTTTAACAAAAATTTGCATAAATTTACGGGGTAAAAGTGCAGTTTTTTACATGAATATATTACTTAATGGTGAAATCTAGGCTTTTAGCATACCCATCACCTGAATAACGTATATTGTACCCTATATTTTCCTTCATTACCAGATCTAGGTCACAGATATAAATATTAATCAGAATATTAATATTCTCTATGGTGATGCTAGGTCAGTTTGAGAAACACTACCAAGAATGTGTGTATCTCCCAAGAGGTGCTACAATATTCCTAAAAATACGTTAACCAACCAGCCTGACCAACAGAAACCCTGTCTCCACTAAAAATACATAATTAGCCGGGCATAGTGGTGCATGCCTGTAATCCCAGCTACTCGGGAGGCTGAGGCAGGAGAATCACTTGAACCTGGGAGGCAGAAGTTGCAATGAGCTAAGATTGCGCCAGTGCACTCCAGGCTGGGCAACAAGAGCGAAACTCCATCTCAAAAAAAAAAAAAAAAAGTTAACCACTGACTATACATGGTTATACTCTTGGTGGATTCATCATCAAATGATGAGTAGAGAAATAAAATGTGGTATATCCACACAATGGAATGTTACATAATCATAAAAAAAGAATGAAGTACTGAGATGTATTAAAACCTGGATGAATCTTAAAAATGCTATGCTAAGTGAAAGAAGCCAGACGCAAAAGGCCATATACTGCATGATTCCATGTATATGAAATGTCCAGAATCAGCAAATCCATAAAAAGAAAGTAGAATAGGCCGGGCACAGTGGCTCACGCCTGTAATCCCAGCACTTTGGGAGGCTAAGGTGGGTGGATCACGATGTCAGTAGATCGAGACCATTCTGGCTAACACGGTGAAACCCCATCTCTACTAAAAATACAAAAAAAATCAGCCAGGCGTGGTGGCGGGTGCCTGTAGTCCCAGCTACTTGGGAGGCTGAGGCAGGAGAATGGCGTGAACCCAGGAGGCAAAGCTGGCAGTGAGCCAAGATCGCGCTACTGCACTCCAGCCTGGGCGACTGAGAGAGACTCCGCCAAAAAAGAAAAAAGGAAAGTGGTTGCCAGGGGCTGAGGGGAAGCGGGAATTGGAATTGAGCACTATTAGGCCTGGGGTTTGTTTTGGGGATGATGAAAATATTCTGGAATTAGATGGTGGTGATGGTTGCACTGACTTGTGAATATGCTAAAAACTACTGAGTTATATATTTTAAAAGGGTGATTTTATTGTATGCGAATTACATTCCCCCCGCTCCCCAAAATAAAGCGGGCAAACAAAGACTGAAGGAATTCATGGCCAGCAGACCTTCCCTGCAAGAAATGATTTTTTAAAAAAAAGTTCTGCAGGCAGGTGAAAAATGGAATAGATCAAAAACTTAGATCGATATAAGTATAAGAAGAGCAGAAGAGAAGGAATAAATAAATTATATTGTTTTTCTTATTTTTAATTGATCTAAAAGATAACTGCTAACTAAAGCAATAAAAGTAAAATGATTATAGCATTATAATCTGATTATAGCATTTGGACGAGTGAAATGAATGACAGGAACATCACAGGGATGGGAAGAAGGAGTTGGAAATAATCTGCTCTAAGGTGTCCGCTCTACCCATGAAGTGGCATTGTGTTATTTGAAGGTGTATTTTATTATTTTATATGTATAATCATACACTGGTCCACAAAGCAAGCCTCATGAAATTTCAAAGGATAGGTACCACACAGACTATGACCTCTGATTACAACGCAATTGAGTTAGAGGTTAATGAGAAAATGAGTTAAAATTCCTGCATATTTGGAAATTTTAAAACACACTATTAAATACTCACAGATTAAAAAATTATAATGGTTTTTTGATATTAGATATTAAGAATGACAAATACTACATATCAAAACTAATGAAATGTAACAAAAGTCAGCATTTTGAAGGAAATGTTTAACCTCAAATACTTATATAAAACAGATGAATGCCTGAAACTGATGAGCTACATGTGCAATTTAAGAAAAGACCTGTGAAACAAACCCTAAGAAAGTAGAAAGAAATATAGAATAAATATAGGAGTAGAAATTAATATGATTAAAAAAACATATAATACAGGAAATCAACAAAATCAAAAGTTCATTGTTTGGAAACATAAATATTAAGAAAATAAGCAAGCCTTCAGTAAACCTGATTAAGGAAAAGAGTTAAGGCATAAATAAACAATATTGTAAATGAAAAAAGTAGACATGAATAAGATAAAACAAACATTTAAAAGATTATAAAACAATACTATCAGTAATCATATGCCAAAAAAAAAATTGAAAAGGTAGGTGAAATGGAATTTATTAAAAAAAAATTTACCAAAAATAATTCAGAAGAGTTCTACAAGTTGTAAAGAAATTGAAATAGTGGTTAAAATTTTTCCTATGAAGAAAACATTAGTCCCAGATAATTTCATATGCATAGTCTACCAAACTGAAGGAACAGATCATCCCAATCTTATTTAAACTCATCTCAAAAAAGAAAAAGGAAGGAATATTCCTCAGTTAATTTCAGGAGACCTGCATAATTATAACACCAACCCCATACGTAGTCAAAATGAGAAAGAAAAACAAGAAGGCCATTTCACTCATGAATGTAGAAGCAAAATCCTAATCAACATATGAGTAAACCAAATCCAACAAGGTATTGAAAATAAGCTGTATGCTTTGACCAAGGCAGGTTCTTTCCAGGCATGCAAGGATAGATTAGCATTTGTAAACAATTATAAATGTTGCTACAATAATTTAAAAAATAACATGTATAAAAATTGTGTGATAGAGATAAACATTTGATAAAATTCAACATAAACACATGATTAAAGGCTTTAGTAAATTAAGAATAGAAAGGAACTTCCATAACTTAATAAAAAGAATCTATAAAAAATCTTAATAGAAAGTGAGAGAATGATGAACACAGCATTCAGGATGGGTAAAAGGAGATGGGGGAATGGGGATAAGGTGAGAAAGAATCACTTCGATAAACATAAATTACTGTTAAGGTCCTGTTTTGAGGATAGGTTACCATCAACCTTTATTAACTACTAAAATCAACTGAACAAACATGAATGGGTCAGTGATTAAAGCGTATCATAAACCAGTGGGCCTTGAAGTGTGATTCCTGGACCAGCAGCAGCAGCATCACCGGGAAACTTATCAAAAAGGCAAATACTCCAGCCCTACCTCAGACCTACTCAATCAGAAACTTTGGGGATGGGGCCCAGCTGCATGTGTCTTAATAAGTCCTCCATGAGATTCTGATGCACAGGAAAGAATAAGTACCACCAGCATAAACCACAGATTCCGTACACCTGCAGTCCAGCTACCAAAAGGGAAAGCCCAGCTGGTGGATGACATGCTGCGGATCCTGGGGAAGGCCATCACACATTTTCCTTTAGAGCTTTAACTAGATGAGAAAGGAGTTGAACGTAACTCTTTTTCTTCATATGCCCTAATCACATGAACACAAAAGGGAGAAAATCAGGCCTATTAGAGCTATTAACACCAACAATAGAAACTTGCTACACCTTAGTATAGTGTCAAAGTTTATATAGAGATCCAAGTTGAAAACGCTTTCAGAAAGTAACATGATTTCTGCAAATGGGGAAAATAATCTCCAAGAAGTTTCCTGAAGTGTGAAATGAGGGGAAATCCACACATTGGTTCAGCAGAGCATGGGCAATCTCAGAAAACTGCAGAGCAGAGAATGTAGGTCTATGTTTGACCCACTGGACATGGCTGCAATTTTTGGAGTGTAGCATTTATCTGCAAAAATCACATTAGAAGCATTTTGTCCTCCAGATAATGATTGTACCTTATGAACCTCTGCCAACTCATAGTCCAACCTTGCTGCCCTCTTCAGAAAACCAGCTTTGGTGGTAATGACTTTAGGTTTTGGAGCTCGGATTCGGGGTTGTGTCACAAAATCTGGGAGACGTGACTCAAGTTCGACTAATCCTATGAGAAGGAAGTACATGTTTTTTAGTATCCAGTGCTTACGTTTATTATTTTTAAGGTATATTGTTAACTTTTGTAGCTGTTTGCCAAGTAGTTTCATTAGAATTGTTGAGAGGGTGTATCTCATATAATAGAATGAAGTGTCCCTGAAATGTATTAGCACATTTCCATATAATTAACTCACATTCTCAGTGACTTAGACTGTAAAATGAGAAATGCATTCTAAAGTGAAACTATTGCCCTACAAAAAAGTAGCAATTCAATAATAGTAATCAACAGAAAATTAATGATTCTATGATATGTGGTGCCACCCTTCTAAAGTAGACGTTCACCAATTTATTACATTTAGCTCCAGAGATGGCCAGCCAGAGCTACAAGTTCAGCAGAGCAACCAGGAACTCGTGATCTTGGCCACATGATACTTTAACTTGTCAGTGAAATTAAATAACTAAATAAGCCTTTTTTGAACTTCATAAGAGGTATAGCCCTCTCCATGAACTTATCCCCTGGTTCCCCATCCTCTTGCCCACTAGTTTTTTGACATTTCTTTATAAAGGGTTGATTTCATTATACATATTTCTTGTTTGCTTCAAAAACCTGGTATAAAAGTTTTCTCTATTTCATTGTTAAATAACTTTGATTATTAGTGACATTAAACATTTTTTAACATTTAGTAGCTAACTGAATTTAGTCCTTCCTGAATTGTTCTATAGCAAGGACTATAGTGTGTCTATTTGTGTGTTCTATAGTGTGTCTATTTATTTATTTGGGTCTTAGCAGTTTTTATTGGTTTGTATGAACTCACGTTAATAATGTTAAACCTGTTCATCAGTGTTTATTGCTGATATTTTTATTGCTTAGCTTTTAATCTAAATTTCTACATTTTGTATATTTGCTCATATTTCTGAGATAACCCTCTTATAGCGGATTTCCAATTATGTAAATTGCTTACCTTCATAGGTGTTGAGATAGTAGTTTTTTACTACAAAGTCCTCTGAGTTATTGTCTGGGAAACACCCAAGACGAGACAGAGGTCCATAGACTTGTGATGCATAATCAGAATAATCCTTGATGATATTTCTTCTCTCCAACTTCCCTTCTATGTTCTTTCCCTTTCCTACAAGTTTTCTGATTGCTGAAATAAAACATACCTCCATGACTATCTCCAAAATATTGCTCTGAATTATACAAATGCAGAAGAGTAAGCCAATTCTAGTGTTATTCACAGAGAAGCTATTGAAATGAATGAATTTCATGATGACTCACGACAGCCAGAATGTAACACTAAAAACAGAGGTCTGCCATCTGTGTGGCCCAGATTGTCATGAGACAGGCAGGAGTCACAGAAGCAGAATCAGCTAGTGCCCTCAATTGGTACTCGTCAAAAATATTTTATAATTGCATTTCAAACTCCAGGCCAAGAAGAGGTATTCAGTAAAAGTTTGTTAAATGAATGAAACTCAAAGCAACTGGAAAATACATGTTCAGTGGGGGAACTAGGGAATTATTCTCCCTTACAAGAATAATCAAAAGCAAAGACTATAGGTTCATCTTGGTTAACACCAAAATAAACCAAAGACTGTCCCAGCTTACAGTTTTTTGGCAGTCAGAGGGAAAGGCTCAACTGTGCACATGAGGAGTACACTCATCTAAAGAGTCACGCTCACCACCTCCTGTGCTCCTTTTCTCTCAGATCCCATCACAGACCCAAGCCCCTTTGGTGGCTCTACATTGTGCACTTTCAACGGGGGTAAAAATCTTATCACAAGATCGTGACGTCATGCTGCAAGAGGGGGCCTGTGTGCCACTGCTGTCTTGGGGATGTTGTTTATGTTTGATCCTCAGCACTTTTGGGTGTGACTTGGGTTTTAGAATTAAGTAAAAATGATTTAAGTTTTATTATTTGCCTACAAAAGTCAGATCTATCATTAGTTATGCCAAGTACTGAAAAAAATGTTGATTATATCTAAATAAATATCTGGCAGTTAAGTGCTCTTTTCTCACATCAAGAAAAAGTTAAAATTTAAGTTCACTAAACATAATTGTAAGCAATAATTTGTTTTGTGATTTTTTATTTTTGTTAGAAAAAAATTTTGAATGATTTTTTAAAATGTGATTATATTGTGAATGAGTGCATATATAGTCTGCACATGTAACTGATACCATTTATTTACTTATTTTGAGACAAGGTCTATATCACCCAGGCTGGAGTGCAGTGGTACAATCATAACTCACTGTAGCCTTGAGCTCCTGGGCTTAAGCCATCCTCCCACCTCAGCTCCAAGTAGCTATGACTACAGATGTGTACCACCACATCTGGCTAAGTTTTAAAAAAATTTGTAGAGATGGGGTCTCACTATGTTGCTCAGGCTGGTCTTGAACTTCTAGCCTTAAGCAATCCTCCCACCTCAGCCTCCCAAAGTGCTGGAATTACAGGCGTGAGCTACCTCTCTTGGCCTTAAATTTTTAAAATATAAATTTAACTTGAATCTTTAATTCAGTCATTCTTAATCTTGCACTGAATAAAAATAATAAACCATATACTTCCTCTTTTAATGTATAAAGTATAGATAGACATATAGTACGTAAACATACATATGTTATATATGTGGTATTAAAATTTCTTGTGGCAAGGTGATTAGGAAAAAGGATGTCTAAAACGTCACCTTTAAGGGCAAGATGAAAAAAGGGTAAGAAACAGGGCTCTTTATCCAGGGCTGTGGACCATGAATATGGGGAACCTAACACCTATCCCACCACACATACATACAGACACACACATACACATACACACACACACACACACACACACATTATCTCAATAACTTGATTACCTGTTAGGACACCATCACTTGATTTTCTTAGTAAGGGAATTTCCTCCACTCTTCTACCTTTAAGAAATAACTCATCTCTCAGCCCTTACCTATGTGATTCCCAGGACCAAAACAGAATTATATCATAGTTAAGTCAGGTTTGGTCAAAGATCCAAAGCAAAGCCCACTTTTCCACTGTCTTCATTGTTCATACTACACCATTACTTGATACATGTGTGCGCTGAATTTTTGCCATTTTTGCCTCTTTTGCCTCCTGCAGTTTAGACCACCGTGCATTCAAGTGCTTCATATTCACTTCATTCTGATTCTCTTCACGCTTCCTCAACAGCTCTTTTAGAACTTCCAGGCGAATCTCCTGCAGTCTTCAAGTAAATTACAAAACATAAAGAAGCATATGGCATCTCAAACGGAGAGGAAGGGAACGGCTGCCACAGACAGGCTCTTCTCTGTGGGCTGGTATCATGTTCATGTATTGTCAAAAGACCACTCTGGCAAAAATATGACAGATGAATTCAGGGCGTGGGGGTGGCACTCAATAGAGACTCTCTATATAATAGGAATATATATGGGTGTAGTTCTCAAGGATGAAGAAGAGTATGCCAGGCAGATGGGGTAAAAGAAGGGCTCTCTAGGCAGATGGGCCTAAAGGAACAGTAAGAGGTTTGTGCACAGTGCCAGGTCGAGTGGTATTCCTGGAGGGTTACGTAATAGGGGGAGTGAAGAGGAAATGTGGTTCTGGCATGCTGTCCTAAGGAATGAGGTAAAAATGCCAGTGCCTGGCATATAATAGGTACTCAACAAATCTTTGTTTCTTTTCCCCCTACCTTCAACTTGTTCTCCTTGGGCTACCTTGCTCATGTGCATCCAACAATGCACAGATGACTGTGTAATCTGTACCTCCAGCTTAGATATTTCTTTTTTCTTTCTTTCTTTTTTTCTGAGACAGAGTCTTGCTCTGTTGCCCAGGCTGGAGTGCAGTCGCCTGATCTAAACTCACTGCAGCCTCTGCCTCCTAGGTTCAGGCGGTTTTCATGCTTCAGCCTCCCGAGTAGCTGGGACTACAGGCGCCCACCAACACACCTGGCTAATTTTTGTATTTTTAGTACAGATGGAGTTTCACTACATTGGCCGGGCTGGTCTCGAACCCCTGGCCTCAAGTGATCCCACCTTGGCTTCCCAAAGTGCTGGGATTACAGGCGTGAGCCACCACGTCCAGCCCAGCTTAGATATTTCTGAACCAGAATTTCCATCTATTTGAATCTCCAGCTGCCCCTTGACAATTAAAAAAACAAAACAAAACCCTACTCATTTGTTCCCCCAGAAGTCTGCCCCTCTTACATCTTCTTCCCGCTGCTAAAGATCTCTCCTCGTAAGTGCTTCTTGTATTCCCTAGCTCATGTCTGGTCATCTCACTCCTAACATGGACTCCTAGCTGCTAGTCTGTCCTCCTTCCAATCTTTGCTCCACCCAGCTGTCAAGGTTTTCCTTCCTAAAACAGAGATTTGAACATACATTTTACTCCTGCTTAGAAATTCATACCTGAATTTATTCACTTACTCATTTGCCAAATATTTATTAAGTGCCCACCATATACCAGGCAGGAACAACAATGTACAAGACAAAACACCTTCTCTCAACAAGCACTGTTCTGGCGGAATAGGCATATGAACCAACATTTCCAGCACAAGGAGATACATACTAGGCTAGAAGAGTGAAAACTCTTCCTGGAAGAAGAAAGGACAGGGCAGGGGGAAAAGAGGGAACAGGTGGGGAAGCCTTCCTTAGAAGAGCTGTAAACTCAGGATTGGGATTTGCCACATTGACAAGGGAAAAGCAGGGCCTCAGCAGGGGAAGCTGAATGTTCAACTCAAAAGGACTGCAGGGAGAACAAGATGTCACACAGGCAGGGTTTCTCAGAGTGAATGCACTTGAGAGGGGTGAGAGTGTAGTGACAAATGAGAATGGAGTGGTAGGCTTTGTGTGTGTGTGTGTGTGTGTGTGTGTGTGTGTGAGACAGAGAGAGACGGAGTCTCGCTCTGTCGCCCAGGCTGGAGTGCAGTGGCGTGATCTCAGCTCACTGGAGAGGTAGGCATTTTTAAAACTAAGCCACACACCCCAGTCACTTTTCTCTCTAGAGTTAGAAATGCTAGGTTCAATTTTCCATGTCACCACTGACCTCAATCTCTTCAATGGTAAAGTGAAGGGAATAATAGTACCCTCTTCATGAAGTTGTGAGCATTAAGTGAGTTAATGTATACACAAAGTGCTCTAACAGTAGTCTCAAATTTCAGAGTGCAGCATAATCTAGAGCATAGGTTCTGATATGGATTGCTGGGTCCCAACCCCTGATTCAGTAGGTCCTGGGATGGGGCCTGATCACCTGCATTTCTACCAAGTTCCAAGGTAATGTTGATGCTGCTGGTCTGTGGACCACACTTTGAGATCTATATGCTTAGAGCATCATCTGGTAGGTAGTAAGCCCTCTATAAGTGTTCCATGCTCTATAGAAATCTTCTTCTTCATCTGATATCATTGACAGAACTCCTTATAATCCACTCATCACCATATTATTATTATTGTTATTATTATTATTGACAGAGCTCCTTACCATTCACTTATCATCTGATATTGACAGAGCTCCTTATAGTCAACTAATCGTCATCATCATCATTATCATCGTCAATCTGATATTATTGACAGAGCTCCTTATAATTCACTGGGGCAGGAAGGGGCAGGAAGATGGGCAAAGAGATGGTGCAAAAGATCTCAGACCAACACCTCTGAAGTATTGGTCTACCTGATAGTTTCTGATATGACTGTCTGATATTACTATCTGCCTGATGGCTTCTTACCTACCCTTCAAAACCCAGCTCAGAAGCTACCTCCTCTTAGTAGTTTTCTTTCTCAAATCACCCACCTTAAATAGAACTAACTGTTCTTTCACCTGGGTTCCACCAAGCACTTTTTGTACAGAACAGCACATCACCTGATAGGCACAGCCCGAGAGGGGTTGGTCTAAGATCTTTTGTCCCATCCTTGTCCACCTTCCCTGCTCCCCCTGCCCCAGTGGACCATAAGGAGCTCTGTGAGGAAGAGCAGTTTCCTATTCATCCCTATTTTCCCAGCTCACAGCACAGAGCCTAGCAGGTAAAAGGGACTCAAAATACATGTATCAAAATTGTCCTCAGTTTAACAAATGTACTTGCTTTCTCAGGTGACGCCTTCACTCTGGCCAGATACATTTTTAATAGTTTCAATGCCTTTTGAAAAGACACATATCTTTCCAAAGTACAATAATAAATTTAAATTTCTGCCAACAGGATTGGGTATTTGACACCTACTTTACCCCAAACACTATTTTTTAAATTAAATTGCAAGCTTTTATCAAAACATCCCAAAGCCTAGATTCAGGCTTAATCTGAAGGTGTTGGAACAAATTAACATATTCCAAATTTAGCACCAAGCTGAGTCTCTAACTCTCTGGGTCCCTCTCTTGTGTGTAAGGGTCCTTGGTAGCATTGCTATGAACAATAAAGTACGTCAGCACAGCCTAGCACAAAGGACAAACTCAGCAAACGCCCTTCCTTTGTTCTTGCTAGAGAGTTATAATTTTTTGGTTCTCATAATCTCTTATCATTTCCACATATCAGCAACAACTCCATTGCTGAAGATATATCAGTTAAAATAATTCAAAATCCAACCACAAGTACCTCAGCATATTGTTATTTATGTATATTGTTATATAAACTCATCTCTTAATGGAAGAATTCCATAATTTGTCTTTTGAATAGGAAATGCCCCATCAGCTCTAGCTGGAACGCAAGGCATCCTGACTGTGAATACAGAGTCTTGGGGGTGGAATGGGGGGGCAGTGGGTAAGAGCTAGGACTAGTGCCAAGGCTGTTTGAAGGGATACATAGAAAGCCCAGGGACTGGGACAGTGGCACTGGGAATGAACATGAAGGGACAGTTTGAAAGGTGCTTTGCAGAAATTAGTGGGATTCTGTGACAGTTAAGATAGCTACTAAAGAGAAAAGGGAAGAGAAGAATCAGAGATGCCCTTCAGGAGTTGTTCAAACCTGGGTTCCATGCTGACCTTCTTCACACACACAGAGGGCATTCTACATTTGTATGTTATTGGAGAGAAGAGTATACAGAGCTTCTGGACCACCTCAGAAGCATGTGACTGCTCCTGAAAGAAGCGGAAGCCCAATTTCCTATCTCTATATGTTGAGGATTGCTTTTTCAACCCATACATTCGGGAGAATGCTTTGCAGATATAAAGTGTTAACATTATTCCCACCAGTACAGGAACAGTTGCCTGGGTGACAGAAAACCTACTTTTCAATCTCCTGCTCTCTGAAGGCCCACTCCTTCCTCTCCATTTCATTCATCATCTTCCTCCTCTTCTCAAACTGGGAGGTGTCACTCAGAGCAGGGAGAGTGGCTTCCCAAGCACGTTTCTCGCGGGCTCTTTCTATCATCTCCACCTCAGCTTGTCCTGCTGGGAGACCCCGACCTGCAGGATGAAGCAGCACAGCTTAGGAACAAGTGGGCCAACCCACACACCCCACCCCCCAGTATATAATTAACTCCCTGTCAGTTCCTTTCCTTTTCTCTAAATGTGAGGGCCATGACAGGATAACATGACATTAGGGAACAGCCTCTAGATGTGCCTCACAGCTTGTGTTATCTGTGCCTCACTGCCTCTTGTTAGTAATTGCACCATAAGACATTTTAGTTGCATGTAAGATGCTGGAATGCATTTGAAGAATATTAAGGGACTACTGAATAATCACATCGTGGAATGCTCTGTAATAAACAAATTTACATACTGAAATACAAGGCGTTTTCAGACTCCAGAGGTGGGAAAAATATGGGGTAGGGAATTTGTTGGATAAAGGTGAAAAATACATGTTTTTTTTGAGTCAGGGTCTTACTCTGTTGCCCAGGCTGGAGTAGAACGGTATGATTACAGCTCACTGCGGCCTTGACCTCCCCGGCACAAATGATCCCCCCACCTCAGCCTCTCAAGTAGCTGGGACTACTGGCATGTGCCACCACACCTGGCTAATTTATTTTGATTTTTTTGTAGAGACAAGGTTTCACCATGTTGCCCAGGCTGGTCTCAAACTCCTAGGTTCAAGCAATTCTCCTGCCTGAGCCTCTCAAAGTGCTGGGATTACAGGTGTGAGCCACTTGGCCAAATACTGTTTTTAAAAAGTAACAGAAAATGAAGACACTAATCACTAGCTGAGAATTCACCATCTTTGGGTTTTGTCCCCACAGTGCATGTACAATTTAGGGCTATCTCTTACCTCCAACTTTAGGCATTCGAAGACACAATACCCGTAGGTCAGGCAGGAGGATAGGGACAGCTGGATATGTTTCCTGACCAGCTCCGAGGCACAGGCTGAGACCTAAACCTACGTATGCCTCCCTGGATCAAGTTTTGAGGATGCCAGCACACTTAGGTACCTAGCACCTCTAAATGTGGCCTTGCAAAAGCAAGTAAAGGAAAGGGAGGCTGGAACAAGTTTCCTGTTTGATCCCTGAACCACAATAAGTCAACCTTTGTTTTATTTTCATTTAAAAATATAATTATACAGAAAAATCCAAGGAAATAAGTCACAAGTCATATTTTTACCACGTACAGTAGGGCATGCCTAAGATTTCTGTCTTATTTCAGATCTTTTGTAATGTTTATGCTTTTAGAAAGCAAATAAGTAATATATGAATTCACAATCTCTTGTTTTTAATATTAGGGTATTAGCCAGGTGTGGTGGCAGGCGCCTGTAATCCCAGCTACTCGGGAGACTGAGGCAGAAGAATGGCTTGAACCCGGGAGGTGGAGGTTGCAGTGAGCCGAGATCGCGCCACTGCACTCCAGCCTGGGGGACAGAGCGAGACTCCATCTCAAAAAATAAATAAAACAAAATAAAATAAAATTAGGGTATTATAGAGAAGGCTAAAGTTCTGTACTCTGCTTCCTCATTCTGATCACCTTCCCAGAGGCAGTCACAATGATGCATTTAGTGAAGAGGAATACTACCAGCTCATCTTTTTACTTTTATAGATGTATAAAGAAGTAAATAAATCTGTATACAAAACAACATATATATGTATGTGTATATATGTATATATATGTATCTACATATTATTTTGTGGGTCTTGCATGGCATTTTCTTTAGTAATTTTAAAAATAACTATGAAAATCATACCATAAGTATGCAGACTTAACAACTGTACACATTTTGTCATATATACTTTACATTTTTTAATAAAAAATTGAAACATTCTAAATAAAGCCGATGTACCTTTTAACTACCACATTGAGTCCCATTGCCTTCTCCCATTTCCCAAAGTAAACACAAAAAGGAATTTGTGGATTTCCATTCAATCTTAACATTTTATATACAAATTTATGTGTCTATGAATTATAATAATAATGAAATCTAACATTACTTAAGCACTTTTATTATGCCAAGCACTTTTTTTTTTTTTTGAGACGAAGTCTCGCTCTTGTCACCCAAGCTGGAGTGCAATGGTGCGATCCCGGCTCACTGCAACCTCCACTTCCCGAGTTCAAGTGATTCTCCTGCCTTAGCCTCCCTAGTAGCTGGGATTGCAGGCACCTGTCACCATGCCCGGCTCATTTTTTTTGTATTTTTAGTAGAGACGGGGTTTCACCATGTTGGCCAGGGTGATCTCGAACTCCTGACCTCAGGTGATCTGCCCACCTCGGCCTCCCAAAGTGTTGGGATTACAGGCGTGAGCCACTGCGCCGGCTATTTAAGCACTTGTATTATGTCAAGCACTTTTCTAATGCATTCAATCTTCAACAAATCCCTATCATGTAAACATAATTATGCCTGTTTTACAAATAAAGAGACTGAAGGGCTAAAAGGTTAAGTAACTTGCACATGGCAGTCTGAACCTTATATTTTTGTGCACTATACTATACTTCCTCTCTAGTAAAAACAAATATGAACCAAAAATGAATTATATAGAAGCAAGACACAGTACTGATGTTTATTTAATATTTATATACATGGTATTGTACTATAACCATTCTGCAACTTGCTTTTTTAACTCATCTTTGTTTTGGAAGCCTAGCTGTACTGATGTATACAGATCTGGTTTCCTTCTTCCACTGTAAGGCTTTATTACAATTTAAGCTATCTATCTTTTCAAATGACATTTAGATTGCTTTTAATTTTTTGATCATACATAATGTTGCAACAAACATCCTTGTACTGGTCTCATTGTACCATATGTGAGCTTCTCTAGGATTCTTAGAAGTAGAAATGCTAGAGTCTAGCAGCTACATCACAAAATATGATCATTTTTAATTCTGGATATTGCTTAATTTACCCTCAGAAGTATATTTTTGCTCCTGCCTTCTGAGGTCCCCTGATGGTTCCTCTCCCATGGTGCATGCTTCACTTCCTCCCACATTGCATCTGCCCAATCTCAGCTGCTTTTTGCAGTCCTTACAAATATTTAGTGGTTCGTGAATTACATATATTTTTAGTTTTACTGAAAATGGAGTTTGTGGGAGTATTGTTGTTGTTACTTTTGTAAAATTTCTGGGAAGAGAAGATGAAAAGTGCTAATTTACCCAGGCATAGTTATATTGAGAGTGGGAATCTGGATTAGAACTACTTGAAGGTATAAATTATTTGAGGGAGAAGTCTTATCTCTTCAAGCATGAGTTTCCCATTGATAAATATGTTCTCTCTTTTCATCAAATCTTTGTTTACATGCTTAAAGAACAATTTATAATTTTCAACATAAATCCCTTGCACACGTTTTTGTTAAGTGATTCCCTAGGCACTTTGTTATTCATTGCTATTGTGCATGTAATTTTTTTCAGCCAAGTGCGGTGGCTCATCTATAATCTCAGCACTTTTGGAGGCCGAGACAGGAGAATTTCTAACTCCAAGAATTGGAGACCAGCCTGGGCAACATAGTGAAACCCCATCTCCACAAAAAAATATATTTTTTTAATTAGCCTGGCGTGGTGATGTGGACCTGTGGCCCTAGCTACTTGGGAGGGTGGGGTGAAAGGATCACTTGAGCCATAGGCTTTGAGGCTGCAGTGAGCTATAATCACATTACTACACCTCAACCTGGGCAACAGAGTGAGACTACATCTCTAAAACAAATAAATGAATGTAATTTTTTTCAATAAATTTTTTTTGGCAGAGTCTTGCTCTGTCACCTAGGCTGGAGTGCAGTGGTACAATCTTGGCTCACTGAAACCTCCGCCTCCTGGGTTGGAGTGATTCTCCTGCCTCAGCCTCCTGAGTAGCTGGGACTACAGGCAAACGCCACCATGCCCAGCTAATTTCTTTGTATTTTTAGTAGAGACGGGGTTTCACCATATTGGCCAGGCTGGTCTTGAACACCTGATCTCAGGTGAATAATGTTTCTTTTCTTTTTCTTTCTTTCATCTTCTTTTCCTTCTCTTTTCTTTCTTTTCTTTTTTTTCTTTCTTTCTTTTTTTTTTTTTTTTTGAGACAGAGTCACACTCTGTTGCCTAGGTGGGAGTACAGTGGCAAGATTATAGTTCACTGTACACTGTAACCTTGAACCCCTGGGCTCAAGCAATCCTGCTTCAGCCTCCTGAGTAGCTAGGACCACAGGTGTGCACCACCACACTCAGCTAATTCTTCTTTTGTAGAAATGGAGGTCTCACTATGTTATCCAAGTTGGTCTTAAACTCCTGGCCTCAATCAATCCTCCTGCCCTGTCCTCCCAAAGTGCTGGGATTACAGGTGTGAGCCACTCCACCTGGCCTCAACAATGTTTTCTAATTGGATATTGCTGTCATATAGGAAAGTGACTGATCTATGTTGACTTCTTGTTGAACTCTCTTTTTAGTTCTGATAATTTATTTGATTTTTGAAGTGAGCATGTGTGCAAATAATGATAGTTTTGCTGCTTCTTTCTCATCGCCATGCCTCCATTTTTCTCTTATCTTGCTGCACTCTCTCTCCTCAACAGGGGTGCTATTGCCATAATGGGCAGATAATTATTTGTATGAAACTCCCCCAAGCAGCACAGGATGTTTAGTATCCATGCCAGCCTATCCGCTATACCCTGTCCCATGAGCTAAATGCCAGAAGCACTTTCTAATCATTATTACATAGAAAACACCACTCATATTCCCAAATGTTCCTGAAAGGAGGGATCATAGCCAGGCTTGATCAACTCTGGGCTAAGGTCTTCTCTACATTGTTAAATAGTAGTGATAATGAGCATTATCAATGTCTTTTTCTTTTAGGGTAAAGCTTCTGAAGTTTCACCTTTAGTATGATGTTTATTACAGGCTGTGGTAGATTATTAAAGTTTCCTTCTGCTCCCAGTTTATTCCAAGTAAATGTCATAAATGAGCATTGCATGTTATAAAATACTTTTTTCTGCATCCAGAGAAGGATTTTTCCTATGTTTTCCATTAAAATGGTAAATTACATGAATGGCTTTCTGATATTGCAACAAACTTGAATTTCTCTG